TACAACATAATTTACAGTATACAAAGTCTAAAAAGTCTAAAACAGAAGGATTTTATACCCTTGCTAATTCATCAGTTCGATTTCAGAAAGGAATCAATGACATTTTTTTATAACAGAAACATAAAATGTACTCATTTTACATCTTTAAGATGACTATAACAAGACTCACTGTGTACACTGAGGGCGATGAGTTCGGTCAAAAGGAAAACGTTCAGGATTCCCAAAGATACGGCCACACCGAGGCAGAGCCTCTCTTTGGAGCTGCTGCTACCTGAACAGAAACCTGAACAGAAACCTGAGCCTTAGCAAAATGTAATTAAATTAAATACATACTATATTTTCTGTAACTTTGTTCTTACCTGTGGGATGAGATGCACTTTGTTCAACAGGTTCCATATTGACGTAAATTTCCTCCATCGCTTCAAAACTCTGTACTGGGTTTTTTATTTTTTTTAAAACATTGACTATAAGTAGTGGAACAAAGTGTAAAAAACTGTGGGAAAGAGGTGAGATGTCTGGGGTTCAACATAAAAACGTATTTTAGAGATAACAACCAGATAAAGAAATTCATGAGTATGGAATCAGGATTATTTTTCTTAAATATCTTACGCCACATAAAATTCTTGAAGGTTTCAATAATTTCCTAGGTTCATATTTGCTGAGTCAATTCTGTATCGCTGAATATTTATTTCTCCTTTTTTCTTTGTTTTCCCTTCAGCTCGGTTAATCCTACTCATAATAAACACATTACAATTTTCTTTGGGTGACAAAAATAATTGACTTTTACATTCACGCACAACTTTGCGGTTGACCACATGGTACTGCATGGCACCGCATGGTATCAAAAATTTAAAAAATGTTTTAAATCACTGATATAAGAGTAAAAACAATAATAATAATCTGATGTTGAGATATTTCTGCTCTTTGTATCCAGAATGATTTCCTTGAAGGCTAATACATTGTTGGAGCAGATAACCGGTTCCCTCCTCTGTCATATTAAGATCATAATTGTGTCATATGGATCCAACAGTTTTTTTACAGGTCTCAGTCTGTCCTGATAACTAGACATAGTCTTGCTCTCAGTAAATACCACTGTCATCTTTTAACCTTGTTTCTTGTCCAGTAGCAGAAACACTTACATTAAGAAGCCACAGTCCTTGAGTTGCATTCCAAATGACCAAACTTGTATCACCCATGAATCAAATAATTAAGGAATTGAACATATTTGTTCATATTTTTAAAGGTATGTAGTTTTAGGACCGCTATCTACTAAAAAAAAAGCTGCATAATTTGGCTAGTTGGCTGTAAACCTCAGTCACCATGTTTCCTCATCTTCTGAAACAACCACCAGGCAGAGAGCAAACAGATTGACAATCAATTTGCTTTGTGAAGCACCGCCTCACTGGGAGGGAATCAAAAGGCTAAAGTGCCAATCAGGTGCAAGTTGGGCGGTTTAAAGTAAGAGAAACCAGATACTGCCTTCAGAGCATGCTGAAGATCAACAAGCAAGCAAAACATTCACAAAATGGATGTAGAATATCGGAGTTCTGGAATAGAATTGGAGTACAGGATAGAAGAGTTGACTGAATAAAGACGTTGCACAGAAATTCAGACTGGGAAGCTAACTGGCAAATTGCTAGCTAAGTATGTAGAGCAGGAAAATAGGTTGGATTTACTTAAATTTATGCAAACCAATTGCCTCAAAAGATTCAATTACTGCAACATATAAAATACAAGTGTAGTTACACTGTGTAATTTTGGCAAAGAATATTCTTAAACTCATCCAGAATATTATTCTCTGCAAAACTTCTTTTATTTTCTACCTACAGCAGCAGCAGCACCAGCAGCAATATATTTGCTACATACAATAAAGATACACGATCTCATTTTTTTTTTATTTTTGACATAGTTGTCCTGTTCAAAACCTTGTGGTTTGCTTGAGCAGAAAGGGTGTGGTGTCTGCTGGGCATGTTAAAATGTGAAACATTTAGCACACAACATCCTCACTACTTTTATATAGTTCACTTTTTATTTTTTATTTTTTTGTTGTTGCGTGGACTCAATTTAAATAGATTAACTGATAAAGCTTTTTTTTTTGATTGTTTGTGTGTTTTATCCAAAGATTCCTGCCAATGGTTTAAGATGAGTATAAACAACTAGTTGATGATAATTAAGTGATGTTCACTCGGACAATTTTTTAAAAAGTCTGATGTTTTATTTTACACCGAGAGCGGCCAAAGTCCAGGTTCAGCAGAAGGCTGAAGGCATCTGATTCTGGCTTCAAACTAAGTACCTGTTTGCTTTACTGCAGAGCTTTGGTAAGGTTAAATTTAGTGGGCTAAAGAAAATCAGACAGTTGATTCTCCAATGTGAGAAATCCCTTGAGGTAGTCAAGTTTCTTGTTTGTTCAAATTTTGTTAGTCATTTACATAGTATGATGACTAATTAACAGTTGATTTATTAAGTGATCTTCACTTAATAAATACAATGTAATCTTTCAATTCATAGTTGAAGTTCTATTATCGAAATTCTAAAAATTAAATATTTCGTCGTATATTTCAATAATTCCTTTCATTCAGTCTAAGCTCCCTGAAAAGGAGAAATTACCTTTCAGATCAATATATTTTTGATTGCTTTGAGTATCATGATATTTTTACTTCATCTGGCTGATATGATCTTCTTTAACACATGCTGATGGTTCATATTGTTCGTTAATAATTATCATTTACAAGAGGTGAACATTAGTGAACATTAGTGAACAGATAGCATCATGAGAAGCAAGGAACAAAAGCTGTAGATAATTTTAACGGTAAAAAAAAAAACAATCACCATGTTGTGACCAACTCTGGGAGAAGGGCTGTGTAGTGAGTATGTTTTTTTTTTAATATTTGTTTTTAGGTAAAGTGCACCATTAGCAAACTTAGTTAATGTTATTATAAGTTGGGCTAGTTGTCAGAAGATGTGAGAGGGGTTATTTTTTTAAAAAAAAAAAAAAAAAATCACTGATTGAATGGTTGGTTGATAGCCAGCATATATTTGAAGTTGTGCAACAGAAACCAAAATAAAAAAATTATATGAAACCTGAATGGCCATTCAGTTTGATAAATGTTTACGCAGACCATCATTCAATAAATTGATAGAAATCCAAGTGCACGCATCAACTCTAAATAATAGGAATTGTATTCACTATCTGAATACAGACTGAAAGTTTACATTGATCATTTATAAGCTTCAGTAACGGAAAATTCAACAACTATATTTCGTTATTGAACACACTCAAGTGTGTAAAATGATGGATGGAGGAAAAAAAGCATCATGGGGGAGAAACATACAGCATATAAGTTAGAGACAAAAGTAGTGGATAATGATAAAGGTAACAAAATAATTTACCATGTCGGAGCGTAGTTGCGCAGTGTTAAGAAAAAATAAAGAAAGAAAGAGAGAAAAAAAAACTTTCAACTCTGGGGAAAGCTAAAACTTAAATATGAGTAGTCTCAGTAAGGTCAGTTTAATAAGTGTCACATATTCTTAAGAAATAAATTTACAAATGAGAAACTTTTACTGACATGTTTCACACTAGCGAGTGTTACAGAGAAAAATGTATGAGTTTCAAATGTGTTTATACCGGCGTTTACTATTTTGGAGAAAGCATGAAGCTCTGGGAAGATCAGTGTTGATTCAGCAGCAGGAAAAAAATTGAACCAAAGTAGCATTTACAATGATGCGAGGATAAATTTTGGAAAATTCTGGACAAATTCTTTAACCAAGGAAAGTTAAAAGTTTAATTTGAATAACCTCCCGTTGGCCTGCTTACAAACAGTCACATATTCTTAAGAAGTACATGTACAAATGAGAAACATTTACTGAAATGTATCACACTAGTGAGTGTTACAGAAAAATCTATGAGTTTCAAATGTGTTTAAACCGGCATTTACTATTTTGGAGAAAGCATGAAAGAAATCACAAACTTGTAGTCAGTACTAACTAGTCATGCTACCATAAATAATGTAGTTAAATAACAGGTTTTCTTTAGACGTATGTATTTGCAGAGGGCAGGGGCTTTTTTTTTTTCCCTCACGACTGCCCCAGACACACAACAAGGCAATTAGCACTCCCCCCTCTGCATTGACCCGCTGCGACGCAGCTGAGGAGCTTTACTTGTGAAAAATCAGAAGCCTGTTGTAATATCGTATGACAGGAGGAGAGCGGGTGTTTCTAAACATTTCTTCTGTCTTAAAAAAATAAACAGAGAGAAAAACAGAGAAACCAGATGTGGTCTGGTTTGCCCTCATGAACCACCAGGGTTCATGAGGGCCTTGCTCTGAATTCCCCCGAGGTGGCTAATTTGTCATTTGTATCGCTCTGAATTCCCCGAGGTGGCTAATTTATCATTCTGTCTGCATCCTGCAAGTTTGCAAGTATGCAACTAGTACATTCCTTCTCTCGCAGGCCCTGCGTATCGCAGCTCAGACCTCCAGTTGTAGGCCTGGCTGAACACAGACACAGAATCAGAAGCAACATCTCCGGCATCTATTTCAACTTCACTAGGTTTAGTATATAATTATATACATTTTACTTGATTAAATAACTGTTGTTGGTGCTGTATTACTCTTAAAAAGAAAGTCAGATATACGGCATTTTCTGAATTCAGCAGAGAGAAAACAGAAAAACCTAACACACAGACCATATGTCACTGAGAACGACCCCCGAAGGGATTTCACAGGCCGTACCTATATTGATCAAGCCCCCAGCTCAGACCCCAGTCGTAGGCCAGTCACAGAATCAGAAGTAACATCTCCATTCCAAATCTATTTAAACTTCAGTAGGCATAGTATATAATTATATACATTTTTCTTGATTAAATAACTGTTGTTGTATTGGTATTACTCTTTAAAAAAGAAAAAATCAAGAGAAGGAGGAGGAGGAGGAGGACGAGGAGGAGGAGGCCGAGGAGGAGGACGAGGAGGAGGAGAAGAAGGAGGAGGAGGAGGAGGAGGAGAGGAGGAGGAGGAGGAGGAGGAGGAGGAGGAGGAGGAGGAGGAGGCACCTCGTCACATTCGAAAGGGAGGAAGGGAGGGATGGGGTGGGTGTAAGGCGGGACTTCCGGTCATCTAAGGCGGGACTTCCGGTGTTCTAAGGCGGGACTTCCGTTCATCTAAGGCGGGACTTCCGTTCATCTAAGGCGGGACTTCCGTTCATCTAAGGCGGGACTTCCTGTAAAAGGGGCGTGGCACCTGTCAAAATGAGATTTGATGAAAGCCTGCCCCTAATGTCTCTCTATTGTCGATTGACTGAATGCAAGTGAAAGCACATGATTTCACAGCAGTGGTTTGCACTTTGGCTAAATCAATAGGCCAGTTCTTTAGAGGGTAATAATTGGATTTTTAAGAATCCAAAATAAAAACCAGGATGTTTGGAAAAGTCATACTGAAGCATCATTGATCTGTTTAACAGCACCTGAGAAATCTTTGAAAAAACTTAAAGTTTCAACAGAGGGTTTAGTCATTTTAACTTCAGCTGTCAGTTTTTTTGCCTGTTTTTGTCACATGATGCTTACAGTAATTAGTGTCGATGTAGTACGGTATGTAGACGTACTCTCCGGATTTGAACCACTTGCAGCCTGTGATGGTGCACGGGTCTGCATTCCTCTTTAAGATTTTTGGCATAGCAATGTCATCATATCGCTTTGGCTCTGCGACACAGCAAATGACAGACAAACACAGACAGGAATGCAAAAACAAGACTGCAATTTTAAATTCATCTGACATCAAAAAAATGCGTATTTGTTGTTATTTTAAGGATTAGAGTTAAAATGATACGTTTTTCTCATTATTATCTGCTGGGTGTTTTTGTTTTGTGAGCTTGTGTCTCACCTTTGTCAGCTTGTGGTTGTGGGATGCTTTTAAAGATATCCATAAACTCTTCTGAGAAAGAAATGTTGCCAGAACCTTTGGTTAAATTTATGCCTCTGCTGTGTCAGATAAAATTGATCTTTGTTTCAAACTCACTGGGATACTGAGCAGGTTCTACTACAGGACTCTGGAACACAGATGGAAGAAAACTGCGTCATTTTGGTCTTTACATGTTGAAACTTTTCTTTTTTAAAAAATAAATACAATCAAAACGAAGAACAGCCTTTCATAAATCTTGGGTTTTGTCTAAGCTGTGAGGTGAATCAGTAAAACGAACTGATCCCATCATAAACTTACCGTGTCGACGTTTCCACTGAGTTGAAGAGAAGGGACAGAAAAACCGGGATCATGATGAAGGTCCTGAAGCTTCATCGTGACACGAAAAGAAAATATGCTTTCTTTCTGTTTCAGTTTGAAAGCATGTAAACATGATGAAGAAAACAAATGGGAGTTAAAGAAGAGTCAGAGAGCCGTTTACCTGACGGAGCAGCTGAGGCTCAGATCCCGTCTGACACAAGAAACTGCTGACCAAGCTTTTTTATCCATCATTATTCCAGATGGGACAATCTGTTCCCAAAATAAACCAGTGCTGTTACAAGTTGCAGGTGAAGTGCATCACTGTTTGGTCCCGTCTTTGCACAATGTAGCAGCTTTTAACAACATGCAGCTCACGTGAACATAGAAGCAAATCTGTTTTTACAAAAATACAAAATGGAAAAAACAGAAGTCCAACTGAAAACAAAATGCTTTTAGCTCTTCCAGATGAGAAAGTGAAATAAATGTTGGGCTGTTTTCTCCCAGGTGATTTTAAATCTCTTCTGAAAACTCGTTTGTTTTCCTTTTCTTTTAATCCTTGGAGCTGGAGGATTAGGGCGATTCAGTCAATATTTCTTCTGCTTTCATTGCTTATTTTATCCTGTCATTGTTATTTTGCCTATTCTTTCATTGGAAGTAGTAGAGTTGTTATCGACTAATAACATTCTAGAACATTTGTGCAGGGAGGTCATGATATTGACCACATAAAGAACAGAAATATGTTTATATTATGACACAAAGCACACTGGCATTTTGTAAGTCAGCGTTTCTGTATCTCAACTAACAAATTAAAAGCTACATCCTTTGTAACAGGAGTATCCATCACAAAAGTTTCATCACTTACAGCACCAGAATGTAACTTTTATAGAAAAAATATTTTTACATACTTGTTAATATTATCATTATGTTCTGACAGTATCACATAAAACAGATAATCTGTGGAAAAATCGAGATCCTCTGCAGAAGCAAATCAGAGGCAGTAGGAGGGTCTTAGCGCTGTCCATCACTCTCATCCTCTTGCTTTTTACAAAACTACAGGCTATGCTGGCTCACCGCAACATAGCCTGCTAGTTAGCAAAGCCACAGATTATGGTAGATAAACAGGTTTTTTGTAACTTGGAGTTGCTTTTCAATCAATAGCAGATTTAAAAGAGTACAGGAGGATGATTAGCAGCGCTAAGCCCCTCCTCCTGGCTCTGATTGGTGGTTTTTGACCAGGAGAGGAACATTTCTTCAGAGGGCAATGGCAGGAGGAAATAGAGGAGTTGATTTTTTGTTTTCATTGCTCATCTGTCTCACAAGTCACAACCATGTTTATTCTTACTTCAAAATAAAGTAAGAATTAACATTTTATTGTATCTAAACTCATTTAAAACTCTGAGTATGGTTAGCATAAGAGCACAAATATAGTCTATGAATATATACTTTTATTTATCTCACCTGCTTTACATTATTTTAGCATTTAATTTTTAAACAACTTCATACTGAAAGTGTGGAGGCTTTTATTTTGTGGTGCTGCACTAAGGAAACCCTGATCTTTGTCCCAAATGTCCAACTGTTACAGAGAGAAAGAAACATTGATGTTGGAATGATCAAATTTTATTTGGTACTTGATTGAATGGATTACATGAATTACAATACCATTAAATTTCAGAAAAAAACATGTTGGTCACAAGAATAAAACATGTTGGATGAGAACTTGTAACATTATGTAGATAAAAACCTTTTTAGTCCAAATGTAATTGGGGAACTTTTACATTTCACATTTCCATAGATTGTACATTCTTGAATAATTGCCTTTTATTTAGATATTTTATACCAGTCCAGTCCATCTTTCCATCTTACACAGTTTTTATGTCACAACATAATTTACTTAACCAAAATTCCCCTTAGATTTATCTTCAATTGAAACATTCCTTTCCATTTTTTATAGCAGATGCAAAAAAAGCCAAACCATAGTATAAAAGAAAACCTTTTTTGATAAGAAATCCTTCACCAATAAGCAGCAATATGTATTCTGACATTAACAGATTGAGATGTAATACCCAAAAATCTGTTTCTTCAGCAACTGTCTTCAGCAGTTATGTAGTTAAGTAGTTAAATGCAGTAAATGAGACAGCAGAGGAAGAGTTTCTGTAGCTCTGAGATTTTGAGAGAGGAGCAGGTCAGAGCCGAAGGTCAGCTGGCGAGCTGAAGTTTCTCCTTTATGGTGTTGAAACTTAAGCTGAGAGAAAAAGTACCGTAAGTCATACAGCTGCTGGAAATGCTAGAGAAATGTTTGAAAAGATCAATATTTTACTCACAGCATCCGTAGAGCCTGTTGATGCGGGCGATGTCGTTGACGCTCATCGATGAGGCTCTTCCAAAGTTGAGGGAAGGATTAGCTTTGGAAAGGAGAGTCGGTTGGCCGTTTCTGGAGAAGGCGGTCCTGGAAGAAGGAGGAAGTGATGAACAAAATGCATCTGCAGTCACAGTCAGACTGAAAACAGCAAGCTGTGTGTAACACAATAGAAGGTATTTTTGAAGCCAAGACTCACTTGGAGTAATGCATAATGGAGTTGAAGTCGTAGGGAGTGCCCAGGTTGTTAGTCTGCACCTTCTCAAAGTTGTGTTCGTTCCCTGATTAAGAAAAAAGTTAACTTTTTAAATTGTCACCTTATTTCAGAAAATGTCACTTTTCCATTGCAATAGATAAAAGTAGAACATGAGGCAATGTGATCTTACAGTTTAAATGTCAGTTTCCAAACTTCCCACACAAAAACCTGCTGAGTTCTCTGATTTTGGTCATTTGGAAAGTATTAAGTTCCCTATGAATGGCTGAATGGATCTGAATGCAAATAGTTTTTTTTTCATTTGTGTCCAAATGTGCAAAATACAGAAATGTATGACTTGTTTAAAATACTTCTGTTTTCAGATCTAACCAAGATGTTCTGCAGATAGAAGCATTAAGCCACGGTTGTGTGACTGAGCCGACCTGGGATGATGTTCTGGGTGAGGACCTGGACGAAGGAGTCTCTGTCAGAGCGGACATGTTCGTGGTGGAAGCCCAGAGCGTGGTTGATCTCATGCCGCACAAAGGAGTGCATGCAGCCATTTTTCCTGAGAGACACAAACTGTGCTCCACGCTGACGGCCCAGGTTGGACCAGCACCTGACGGGGGATCAGGAGGAAATCAGTGGAAATGTGTGGAAGTAAAAGTCACGGTATGTGACTGAGTTCCTACCCGGATCCTGAGTAGAAGTGAAGGAAGTCCCTTTGCCGTGTTGAAGTCCTCCAGACAAAGCGAATGCAGGTCGAGGCGTGGAAGCTCACCAGGTCATTGATGATGATGTTACGCTCTGCCGTGGCTGCAAAACAAAACATCTTACACCAAGGTCCTAACTACAAAACAAACTCCAACACAGACATCTACTGTTCCCTCTGCCTTCTGAAATAAACATGAAGGAACTTGGAAAAGTTTGCATCTATTTTAAAGTCTTGTGTGTTTATTCAGGTGCTGGTTTTGCTCACAGTAAGATCTGGAGATGTAGACGGGAATGTAGACATATTTTCCAGTTTTGGGCCATTTGCAGCCGGTGGCGGTGGTTGGGTCTGCGTTCCTCAATTTGCTCGGAGCAATGTCACCGTGGACCAGTGGAGTCTCTGCAGAAACACAAAACACACAACAGAGTGAAGAACATTGATTCTTATGACACAAAGGATTTTTGTGTATTCTTTGACCTCTGCATCTTGAACAAGACATGCTGCATTGAGCTGGCCAATGAAAGCACTCCAGGAGAGTACAGAGTCTTTTACTACTTATTCTTATTACACACAAGGAACCAATGTATTGTTTTATACTTTTACAATATTTTTAAAATGCTTGCTATCCTGGTTAGAAATTGTACAGACTGCAAATAAACCGATTGATCACTAGTGAAATGTAGGGACAGTTCCTTATGCAGATTAAAAAATATCCAGTTTCTTATCAGGCTTGAAGATTTGACAAAGGCAAACCATTAAGCTAATTTCTGAGAAATGAATCAGTCGATTTATTAATAGATGATGATTATTTTTTTGTCTTGACTTGCAAATATAAAATTACATTCAAAGCTGTTGGGTTGTGTGAAATTGCTCTCTTACTTATGCCTTCGTTTGCTTTGGAGATGATTTCTGTGACATCCATGTCCTCATCTGTGGGAGGAAGGAAAGAAATCCACATGTCAGAGATTTCAGTTTCACTTCAGGTTTCTTTTATTTTTTCTACTCACTGATTTGGTTTTCACTGTCATCTGCTTTCTGCAACACAAACAGAGATTTCAGCATTTAATGTCAACCACATTTCTTCTGCTTCATGATGGTTTGGATATTTGCTGTTGATGCTGCATTGCAAACCCAATATATCTAAACACATTAGGCTTCCCTATGTTGGATGAAACAAATTAGTTTTATTTGTCTCCCTTCCAACTTACCAGAGGAACAGCCGCCGTCCTTGCCATCGAGATGGTGAGGAAGAAGAAGAAGAAAACTCTAAACATCTTGCTTTTCTGCAGGGAAGCTTCTGACCTGAAAAAATCCAAATCTAAACAGAGTTTTGTTGTTAAGATAACAGTCAGTACCTACCTGTCAGTCCAGGAGTCTGAGGCTGGATGCAGAAGCAGCTCAGCCTCCCACCTTTTAAACGCTGCGAACACGGGGTGTGCCTCAGGGCTCATTGTTTGTGCATCAGTCACCTGTCAAGTATACATTTAAGCAACCTGCCCCTGACTTCCCAGAGGATCCATCACTCTGCGTTTCTGAGGTCTGAGGCCGGGGACCAGATATTATCTTTACA